ATGTCTTGAATACAGGGCACCCTCAAAAAAGTCGTCGGGTTGTGTCAACCCGTCAAGACCGGAAGTGATGTCATTGATATGCTAATGTATTCCATGGCACTTAGAATATTTTCGATGTCTTGAATACAGGGCACCTCCAAAAAAGTCGTGGGGCTGTGTCAACCCGTCAAAAGTATCGAAAATGCCTTAAGGCTTTCGTGAAGATCAAGAAATGTCGTTTGTCGGTTTTTAGACTCGCGTTGTTTACACCGGCTTTCGTCTTAAACGGCTATGTCGATTCTTTTCGGATTGAAAAACTGTTGAAAAGTTGATTAAACTTCTTTATATTAGCTAAGAACAAGGATGAAACACATGTGTATGTAAATATCGTACTCTCAGCAAAGGTTGAGGCTTTTTTGGTGACTTTYAAGGCCGTTTTTGGTCAGAATGCTCTCAGTGTTTGAGCGAGAGGCTCGCTTGAATCGGTATCGAATGAAATTATAGATCTTGAAAAATTCCAAATTGTCTTCTTTGTGTGTGTTTTGATACTGTGATGAAAACACGCGGGTGTTTTGATACACGGGGGATGTACGGAGAAAAATCACATTACAGACCTATAAGTGTAAGAAATAATTATATTTTGAATCGTATTTTGCGACGAACGCCATAATGTTTACGTTTTGCTCGATTGATTTCGTCGCTAATCTCGGCCTCTAATTGGCTGAAACATAACGGTTTAAAATTGTCAAACAAATCCTGGTTGCTTGTTTTAGGCCCTGGGTTAGTGACATTGTCCTTTTTTAGAGAGAAAATAATTAATGGCAGGGATCCGAGCCAGGGAAATGATAATTTTGTGGTTGATAATTTTGTTAACTGAAGTTTATGAAGTTGAGAAACTCTTCCTAATAGTTTAGGTACAAAATTGTATTTTGAGCCTGTAAGAATCTTATTGACCCCGAAAAATAAATTAACAGGCCATTTGTATCGATACAAATGGTCTGTTAATTTATTTTTCGGGGTCAAAATTTACAATGATCCATAGCCCAGTAAAAAAAGGGATGAGGAACGGTACATGTATGTCCCACAACCTCTGATAAAGTGATTGGATATGATTATTTTGACGGTTGCTTTGATGCGCTTTTACTATAATTTGTGAAGTCAACTATTGCCGTCAGATTTTTGTGAGGAAATGTAAGTTTAGGTTACTTGGATGAAATTAAAGCTCAAATTTTAACACTGATATAACAAAGAATGCAATTTTATGTCTATTCTTCTTGTTGAAAACACTGATAATCATATAATCGTTCTTTCGCGCGCCGTCAAAGTGGCGTATCTTTGACGTCATGTAGTGCTTAACCAAATACTGTGCCCCCCCTTTTTTTTGCATTTTTGAAATGTCCATAACATAACTTAAAATGTAAGTATGCAAAGTTTCATTAAAATCTATGATAAATTGTATTCGGAGGGGATGACTTAATTTTTGGAATGTGAACATTGTTTATCTCCTGTCGTATTATAATGGATTGACACTTCGACAACAATTGAAATGTGTTTTATTTCCAAAATTCATGCTATGAAGGTAAATTCATACACTTGCTTAAAGTTGACTTCAATAAATATATATTAACAGATAGCTTGAAAAGTTTATAAATTATGGACTTTTTAGCAAATATTGCACTATATATAATAAYTAGCCATTTTGGGATTTCACTTATTAAAAAAAATACAAACATTAGAAAAACTTAGATATTAAATTATACATTGGTAGTATTGTTTAAAATTCAATAAGTATAAACCAG